TGCTTTTGTGGCGGGATTGCAGCAGCAAGTCCAGAAAGTGCACCAGAAGGTGCAGGGCGAGCCGTGGCTCCATGTTGCCACCTGCGGCAGCGTCCCCGAAGGGAAGCACCGACACAGATGGGCGCAGAGAAAAACGCTTTGCTGTCCCTTGGCAAGGTAGGCAAGCAAGTGGAAAAGCTGAGAACCGGCTGTCCAGGGGGGGTCCCTTTAAGCACGAGCCTCAGAGAGCCTCAGACAGCAGCCACACAAAGCAACTACTGACCTGATGCCCTGCCAGAACCGGTTTCATCCGCCCTTAAGTGCTCCCCAGCGTCCAATCAGTGTGGACGCGCTAGTTCGAATTAGCAAAATGCTAATTCGAACTAGTTTTTAAGTCGAGATGCGCTAATTCGAATTAGCTTAGTTTGAATGAACTAATTCGAACTAAGTTAGTTCGAATTAGCGCTGTAGTGTAGACATACCCTTCGAACAAAAGGCTGTCATTCCCACACAAGAGGATTGTAATATGTCATTTGCCCTCGCACACTCCCTGCCACCTGACCTCATGCCCAGAACTCCTTTTCTGTCTCTGTTCCCTGCGTTTCCTAAATAAAAATACATGATTTAAGAAGAACAGGATCATGATGCAGAGAACACCTTGTTAAGAACAACATACATGACTGTTACATCACTGTCTTGTCATTCGAGAAACTGGTTTTCGAAACCTCTCTAATTCGCAGTGCCCCTCAATGTGCTCTCCTTATTGCCCTGGTGTCTGGCTGCTAATTAGTGGCTGGGCAATCTGCCTGGAGTCTCTTGCCCTGCCAGAAACTTTTCCCCCTTACTTTCACAGATGTTATGAAGTACACAGCCACCCGCACTTTGGGATGTTAGAAGGCATGTAATTTGGTTATCATGTAACCAACAAAAATTTTGTTGGGTACATGATTAACTGATAAGTGGGTCTTCCTTTAAAAGAACTTGAGAGCCTGCATGCAAGCACGCTGGCTGTCTCCCACTGTGGTCTTTGTGCTCTGGCTCTCAAGGTATTTAAATGCAAAACAGGGGGAAGGGGAGAGGGTATTACGTGTAGGCAATAGCATTAACTAATAAACATTAGTTTATTGGTTAATTGTTTAACCGGCTACACTATTACAACCCTAGCAGCCACAACAATGGGAATGTTGCTTTTACTGAGGTCTAGCCTAGTCAATAAACTGTGAAAGTGTGCCTTTAAATGGCCAAAAGCACATTCTACCACCATTCTGCACTTCCTCAGCCTATAGTTGAATTGCTCCTTACTGTTGTCCAGGCTCTTTGTGTATGGTTTCATAAGCCACAGGAGCAAGGGGTAGGCTGTATCTCCAAAGATACCTATTGGCATTTCAACATTTCCAATGCTAATTTTGTGGTCTGGGAAGAAAGTTCCAGCTTGCAACTCTGAAGAGACCAGAGTTCCTAAAGATATGTGCATCACGCACCCTTTCCAACCATCCCATGTTGATGTTGATGAGACAGCCCTTGTGATCCACTGGTGCCTTCAACACCAACAAGAAGTACCCATTAGGTTTATGTGCTCTTTGTCAAGGTCAGGTGTCAAGGTAGGGATGAGTGTTCCATCTACTGCTCCACCACAGAGAACCCCATCACAGCAAAGCCAACCACCGTGTCCTGCACGTTTCCCAGAGGCAGTAGCCTTACTAGCAGAAGAGTATTGATTGCCCTGGCTACTTGGATCGCAGCAGTCATCATTGTAGATTACCCCACTCCAAACTGATTCCCATCTGACCAATAGCAGTCTGGTACTGCAAGGTTCCATGCCAATTGCTGCACTCAGTGGTTTCATGCCTATCTGTGTTCTTGGCCTCCTCAAATTCTTCTTCACTCCAGCATCTTCTGGCTAAGCTCTGGACAAGCAGCAGCGTAATACACGAGGTGTTTGCAATGCTTGCCACAGCAGTTTGAAGGTAAGCAGGGTCTGTGCTAGGCATGTTAAAGACTAGTCAAATACCCGATAAACATTTCTTTATCTCATAGTCTTTTGACTAGTCGATATTCCCCTCCCCTTGCTGCCTCTGAGAGAGGGGCAGCAATGGGGGGGAGGGGAAGGCGTACTTCAAAGTGGCTGCCTCCGCATATTTCAAAGGGGCAGCTGCCGTGGAGCCCAGGGTCAGCTGGGTATTCCCAGATGACCCCGGGGTCTCCGTGGCATTTTGCCAGAACCCGGAATCAGCTGACCCTGGGCTCCTAGTGGCACGCAGTGGCATGCTGTACAGAGGTCCACATTCTTCTTTTGAGTTCTGCCCCTCCTGCTGGGGCTCTTGTACATTTCAAAGGAGGAATGCAGAAGTGCCTATTGACTAGTCGATGGAAATTCCATCAACTAGTCGACTAGTAAATTAACTGCCTTTTAACATCCTTAGTCTGTGCTTGCCCTGGTATGTTGTCTGCAAAGATATCCAGGGTAAAAAGGGCACAGAAAGATTGTTTGCCATTGCTTTCAAGTAGGGGGAGAATGAAGGAGATAAATGCATTATGGGGTACTGAAGACATAGGATGCTGACGGAGAATTTAATCCGAGGGTTTGGATGGGGGCCCAAAACCCCTACCAAATCAATTCCAGACACCCTTCTTAAGCAACCAGCTTTATTCAGGAATGCATTCCAGGGCAAAAATCTCCAGGATACTCAGGAAAAAGTTTCTGCAACTGCCCAAACAAAAGGCAAGGTCTTTTGTACTGCCTTACATGGTAATTACCCCTTTTTCACTGACCACTTACAATTGCATGCATATACAGGTCATGCCCCTTTGCACCAAATTCCCTCCAATCATTATTTGTCCCCTCACAGTCCCTTTGCAGGCCTTACAACAGGTTCAAACCAGTTTCACCGATCCCCTCCTTTTCTATACCTGTGTTCAAGCACGTACCTCTTTAAAAAGACCAGACTTAACATCCAGGTCACACAGAGGTCATACTGACAACAAATTAAGTTTATCCTTCAATGCTGATGACAGAACCACTCGCTGCAATGTTTTTGTCCTATCAGGCACTGGGAGCCAACCCAGAATGCAAAAAGACAGCAAGAACTGTGGGATGGCTACCCATAGTACATTTCTGTCAATATCAAAGGTAGCCACCGTCAACCTCATGCACATGTGAGGACATGCACCTTCGACTTTACAAGATCAGGTGCTTAAACATTTTACCTTAATAAATTTGATCTAATCTTATAGTGTAGACATACCCTCAGCTTTCAAAGTTCCATTAAGTTTTTCTACCTGCTCATTGGTCCCATCATTTTTTAAAGACAACAGCCATGACACTTCCACCAAGATGGGTCACTGTTTTCCGGGGAAGATCTACTCTGCTGAAAATGATTTAAAAAAAAAAAAAGCTATTGCCACAGTTTCAGCTCTATTATTAGAGAAGACTTTGGTTTCAGAACATGTGGCTTCAGAATCCATAAGTATTGTGTTTCTTTCCACCCCGATTAGATATTGTGGGACCTTTCACTAAACCTTTAGACACTCTGGAAAATGCCTCCTTGGTAATGGGCTGTTTCAGTATTGCTTCATGAATGTGGTTAATACATCATTTTGTCTTGTATAAACTGCAGTATAAACATGAGTTTTTAAACCTATCAAAGAACTGTTGTAAATGGGTGTTCCAGTATGGTAAAAAGTGCATTGCAGGCTGGCAGTTAGTTTATAAACTTGTTTGTTCTGGAACCAAGTCTTTCCTCTTTAGAGCACCACATACACTTGCAGTGCATTAATACTTTTTTTCTTCTTTCCTTTTCTCAGTGTTTTTGAAGATGAAAGTGCAAAATTGCGTCAGCTGAAACTAGAGAACCAGGTATGTGAATAGACGGTGCAGAAGTTGGCAAGTGTTATTGTGAGGGTACGTCTACACAGCAACATTATTTCAAAATAACTAGCTTTATTTCGAAATAACTTAGTCTGAGTTAACACAAAGACACGGTGATGAGTATAATATAAATACTTGGAATGATGGTTAGAGACTGATAAGAACTAATTGCTACCTTTAAGGATTGCCGCCTTTAAGGATTTTCTGGTTATCACTAGTTCAAGGGCAAAATTTGCCGCTTTTTTTGTTTTGATTTCCTTAATATTTTGTGCTTCCTACAAGTGTTGCTTTATTCATTTCATTAGGATTCAGTCATTACAACACTGAGCTGATCAAAAGAGAGGAGAATTAATCTCGATAAAGAATTATCCAGTTTAAACATCAAAGCAGAAATTAAAATATTCTCTAAACAGTAGAAAGAGCTGCTTAATCCCTCTGGGTATGTCTACACTCCCCTGCTAGTTCGAACTAGCGGGGTAAGGTAGGCATACCGCACTTGCAAATGAAGCCCGGGATTTGAATTTCCCGGGCTTCATTTACATAAGCGGGGAGCCGCCATGTTTAAAACCCCGCTGGTTCGAACCCCGTGCAGCGCGGCTACACGGGGCACGAACTAGGTAGTTCGAACTAGGCTTCCTAATTCGAACTACCGTTACTCCTTATTTCACGAGGAGTAACGGCAGTTCGAACTAGGAAGCCTAGTTCGAACTACCTAGTTCGTGCCCCGTGTAGCCGCGCTGCACGGGGTTCGAACCAGCGGGGTTTTAAACATGGCGGCTCCCCGCTTATGCAAATGAAGCCCGGGATTTGAATTTCCCGGGCTTCATTTACATAAGCGGGGAGCCGCCATGTTTAAAACCCCGCTGGTTCGAACTAGCAGGGTAGTGTAGACATACCCTCTGACAGGACACTTCCAGCAACTTTTTATCTTCCTTTTTCTAAATACAAACCTATTTTGGCTTAGCATTTGATTTGGAAGAACATTCAGGAATTGTACCTCTTTTCAAACCACTGATTGATACACAACTTGCTGAATGCAGATCACCATAATTATTAAGGATATTTGTGAGGGGGGTCACTCACCACCGTAGCGGGGGCCCGTCGTCGGTCCCCGGAATCAGTCCATTCCGCCCGCACAGGCCTCCACTCACGTGTCGTTTCCCCTCTGGAATCTTCTGGTCGCGTTGCTCTCTTCGCCACACTGCCCTCCGGCAGTGCCCAAATCACTCGCTCTGAGCCCCCCTTCCGGGGGATTGATGTCTCTCCAGCAGGCCTGTCCGCAGGCCTAGCAGGCTGGCCGGCTGGCGGTCCGAGCGCCCTGGCCCAGCCTAACTCTCTAGCCCTGCCCTAGCTCCAGAGAGCGTCCTGCTCCCTCGGCAGCCAGGCTCACACTGCCTTGGCTGAAGCAGCCCTGCCCTTTTATAGCCCCCAGCTGGGCCTTAATTGGCCAGTGCCGCCCAGCTGGGCTGAACTCCCTGGGCCTGCTCCAGGCTGGGGTTTGGCTCTTAAGGGGCCAGTACAGGGCAGCTGCCCTGTTACAATATTAAATTTAGATTAATCAACTAATCAAATAGTCGATGTAATGTGCATCGACTATTTGATTAGTTGATAAGAGCACCTCTGCCTTTGAAATGCCAGGCTCTTGTACATTTCAAAAGCAGGGAGCACGGGGCCAGCAGGGAACTGTTTGACCCCATGCTCCCGGTGGCACTTCTGCTTTTGAAATGTAGCAAGACCTCTGCTCTTGCTACATTTCAAAGGTGGAAGCGCTGGTAGTTCCCTGCTGCACCCCTGTCCCTTCTCCCCATAGAGACGGTGCTGGGGAGAACCAGCTTTTAAGTCGGCTCCCAACAGCACTGGGTCCTGCTCCCTCCTCCCTTGCTGCTTCTCTCTGATAGAGGCAGCAAGTGGGGGAAGCGACTAGTTGAGTCACTAGTCAACGATCCATTAAGCATTTGCTTATTGAATAGTCAGCTAGTCACTTACATCCCTAATACCTTAGGGCACTTAAATAAACATATTCATCCTTGCTAGTCTGCCCTGTGAAATTTAAGGTGAGTATAGGTTCATACAGAGATGGAATAAAGTTTGGTGGGGACCTAAGCTGCAGCAAGTGGGGGGGGGGGGCCGCCTGCAGCCCCACGTAGGGTCCCACCCCATTTTCCCTTTCCCCCATGGCTGCACTCCTGTTCCACCCACTGTCCCTCCCTTTTCAGCCCCAACCCCTCCTGTTTGTTCCTCTCTGCCCTTCCAAGACTAGAGATGCTCTGTTCTCCCCACCACAACCCCAGAGGCATGGCAGGGAGAGAACTCTGCCAGCCCTGAAGCCACAGCAGGGAGTGAGAATGCTTCCAGTCTGGAGCTGCAGATGGATCTAGGTGCTAGGGCTTTGCTTGGTGCTTCTGCTGGGAAGTGGAGAGAAGGTACGGGGGGTTCCCCTGTAAAGTGCTGCTACTGAGGTTAGGGAACTGGGGCTTCTCCTGCCATGTCTGGTGCTTCTTCCAGGGCTCTGAGCGTCCACCGCCTGGCAGCAGGGCTTTTTCTGATCTCACCTGGCCAGGGCCCCTGGGCACAGGCCCCTTTGGCTTAGTGCCTAATCCATCAGTGGATTCATAGATTTTTAAGGCCAGAAATCCATAATGATGATCTAACTACCTACTGCTCCCCTACACTGCTGTCTCAGATACAGAGGCAGCAGTGTGGGTGGGGAGGGACGGCAGCTTCCCAGGAGCCGGTACACGTGGGGAACCAGCTTTTAAGCTGGCTTCCCACACATTCTGGGAGCCTGCGTGTAACCATGAAGGTTAATTGACGAGCCCAGTGTTTTCCATCCCTATTCCTAACACAAGTCATAGCGCATCACTGATTAATTCTTATATAGAGTCTAATAACTCTAGGGATGTAAGAGACTAGTCAGCTTGTCAACTATCTGATAAGCAGAAGCTTATCGGATAGTCAATTGGTGATGCAACTATTTGCTCCCCCCCACACCTTGCTGCCTCTATCAGAGAAAGGCAGCAAGGAGGGGGAGCAGGAACTGGTGCTGGGGGGAGCTGGCTTAAAAGCTGGTTCTCCCCAGCACCATCTCTGCAGGGGGCAGGGGCGGTAGAGGCACAGTGGAAATGGTGCGAGCGGGGACTGAAGCCCCTTTCACTGCTTCTGCTACGATTCTGCTTTTGAAATGTACAAGAGCCCCAGTGAGTGGGCACTACATCCCGAGGTGACTGCCTCCCTCTTCCAAGACTGGGGCTATCCTCTAGTAGAGCTCTTCGTAGTGAGAGACAATGCAAAGTGCAGATGGTTCTGTTCAAGATTCGGCTTCAAGTGGGGCTCTCTGCCACATCCGTTCCTGTACATGTGATCTGAAGGTCTTCTTTACAACGTCCGTCAATTTCCCCTCATCGGCAGGGTCCTACGAAAGGTCAAAAGAGACATAGTGATGGTCATCCTCGTCACACCGGCCTAGCTTCGCCAGTACTCATTTGGGGTGTTGATGAACCTGGTTCCTGCACTCCCAGAAGGCTGCCACTGAGGCTGGACCTGCTCTCCCAGGACCAACATCACTTGTTCCACTTGAGCCTCAGCTTGCTCCACCTGACGGTGTGGTTCATCGTGGTTGAACCTTCAGGAGCTGGCATGTTTGGGTGACGTGCAGCAGGTCTTCGTTGAGAGTCGTAAGCCCTCAATGCAATCCACCTCCCTGGCTAAATGGACCTGTTTCTCTGCATGGGTGCAGCAGTGGTGAGTGGTTCCAGCCAAGGCCTCCCTTCAGGAGATCCTGGACTACTTGATGTTCCTGAAGTGGAAGGGTCTGGCCTTGGCCACCATCGAGGTCCACTTGGCGGCCATCTCCACTTTTCACTGTGGGACTTTAATCTGGTCCTGGCAAGGCTCACAGATCCCCTGTTCGAGACATTATCTATCTGCCCCGTGTCGCTACTCTCCAAGGTGGCCTTCCTGATCGCTGTCACCTCAGCTAGATGGGTGTCGGAACTCTGAGCACTGATGTCAGAGCCGCCATATACCTGGTTCTTCAAGGACAAGGTCCAGCTGCCGCCACACTCAGCTTTTCTCCCCAAGGAGGTTTCTGCCTTTCACGTGGACCAGGACATTTTTCTGCCAGTCTTCTACCCCAAGCCTCATGCAAACAATGAGGAGAGGTGCCTCCACATACTAGATGAATGTTGAGTGGTGGTTTGTTACCTGGAGAGGACACGTGCTTTTCACAGCTCTATGCAGTTGTTTGTGGCCTATGTGGAGTGTGGGAAGGGTTTCCCTATCTCCTCCCAACGATTGTCTAAATGGATTACTTCCTGCATCTACATGTGCTATGAGTTGGTGGGGGCCTGGCCACCAGAGCTGATTAGGGCCCACTCCTCTCGCTCAGGCTTCCTCGCAAGCTTACCTTGTGCACGTCCCTATCCAGGACATCTGTAGGGCGGTGACATGGTGGTTGGTCCATATCTGCATGTCTCATTCTGCCATCACACAGCAGGCTGGGGGATGTCACTTTTGGCAGGGCTGTACTGCAGTCTGCATTCTCATAACTCCTACCCACCTCCACAGACACTGCTCACAGTCACCTATATTGAATGGACATGAAGAAAAAAAGCAGTCACCTGTTCTGTAACTGGTGTTCTTGGAGATGTATTGCTCACATCCATTCAACCTCCCACCCTCCTCCTGTCTGCTGGAATTCCAGCAATAAGGAACTAAGGAGGGAAGGGATGGGAGGGGCACCCTATATAGCATGGCGTGCATGCCCGACTCCAGGGGACACTAGGGACCCTGGCCCCTATGGGTGCTGCTTACAGAAAATCTTCCAGCACCGGTGCATGTGACAGGCACACACACGCCTATGTTGAGTGGACATGAGCAACGCATCTTGAAGAACACCAGTTACAGAACAGGTCTTTTACATGACCTGTTTTGCCTAAAGCATCTTTGAGTTATGCATATTCATATTCACAAGCCAATTCTTAAGAGGC